AATGAAATATTATTAATAAAATTAAATGAAAATAATGAAATAGATACATGAAGTACAAACTTACCACTCTAAAAGCGAACAGTTTCTCCACAATATGCTGTTCATTTCAGAGAGCGAGAAGAGGTCTAATTAAGAAGTAAAAATACTGAACAGAAGTTGGTTCTGTTTTACCTCAAACTGGCACAGTCATTTTGAACTAAGGTAGAAGATGAGAGCAGACGTCAGTGCAGCCAACTGGGCACCCCTTACAAAGTTTGCAAAGATCAAGAATTTCTTTCATTCAGCTCACAAAATCTGCAAATATAAATTCTCTGCTTTTAAAAGGCTCTCTTCTACTTCCTTTGAAACAGGAAATTTAATAGAGATCTATGGGAAGACAATTGCTGAAAGATATGAGACCTTGGACTTCAATGTGAATTATATTGATGGGTAATTATATATAGGCTGCTATCTAACCCAGTCCCTGTAAACTGGTATTTCTTCCAACAGCCTCCTTGACAGCAATAAATTGCAACCAGTTGGCCCAGAATTGCCATTTACTTCCTTTGTGGTTTATTGCAGCTCATGAGTTGGGCTCCAGCAAACTTTGTTAATCTAATTGCGACTGGTCCATTAAGCTAGTTGGTTTGTTTACTGGCAGCACAGTCAATCACAGCTCAGTGTGAATTGTACTGTAATTGCGTCTGGTTGCTGTAGATTTTATTTTGTCTAGCAAATTAAAATTTAACTAATTAAAATAATGTCAGAATCTAAAAGTTAAATAAATTTTCCCTTCCATTTGCATTTTTAGAAAAACTATTCGTTTGAAACAGATGCTCTGGTGAGTCAGAAGACAAAGCACAAGTATTTTGAGACAAAAAGCTTTGTTGTTCACTGCTTTAAACCCTCTCTGGTCACTTCCTTGTTCTCAAACCAGGTTTGATTTTTATTTTCTGCTGCTCTAATGGTTACATGCAACAGAGCAAAGCAGGTTGATTTTAAATATTTACTTCAGACCAGCAGAACTTTAAGCACAGTGAATCCAAAATGAGCATGAATGTTGACCTGCCATCTATTATATGTATTCCCATATGTATAGAAGTATTCTCAGATACTGCTGAGTTATGATTTCCTTGCCCTTGTGTCAATGCCAGGAAAGAGCTAAGCCAAGATGGGTATTTTAAGGATAAACTCTCAAGCTGTAGTTACTGTGCTGGCATTTTAAGGATCATTTCTGGATCAGGAGCCAGGGAAGGTGTTTATTCTCAGTTAGAAGTTTTGCTTGCAGCAGATATTTGACCACTGGATGCTTTTTAACTACTTCTCATCCCTTACTAAGTAACTAAATTCTCTGCTAGCATGAATGAAAGTCCAGTGAGGATTCCTGCCATAGCAGCTGCACCCATTTATCACCCCCACATTTTTGCTCACTGGATGCACATTAACATCTTTTGTTTGATATTAATTATTGTTTTACCTGTCTCTAGTGGAACTTCAAACCTTTGATCTGTGTGAAGAATGGCTGTTCTGTCTGACTGCGGGCTGGAGCTGCCTGCATGCTCTCTTGTTAGGTACCTGTCTCTAGTGGAACTGCAAAACCTTTGATCTGTGTGAAGAATGGCTGGTCTGTCTGACTGCAGGCTGGAGCTGCCTGCATGCTCTCTTGTTAGATTACTCATTTACAGCTTAACCTCCTGGTAGCCAGAAAGGAAATGGCCTCAAAATCATAACATATCAGGCAGATTCACATCATAGATTCACATGAATAATTTGTCTTTTTTTGTGTGTTAGTAAACACATACCAGGTAGAGACTTGGACTTGACCAGAGCAATCTGTCACTCAGTTGCACTGATTCAAGATTTGAAGCAAAAAAGAGAACCATTTTTATACTTCCAAGTGTGTTCTGCACCCTTTTCCATGGTTTTTATGGGATGCAATGGTCCAGCAATGCTGAACCAAACATTTTGCAGCATTGAACTTTTTTCTATTAATCCTTAAAGGGAAAGGCATCTCTGACATCAGCAAGCTGTATTAATAAAAGCAAACTCTTAATAAACCTCACGAAACTACACTCTGAAGCATGGGTCATAGCAAAGTGTTTGCAATGCAGGTTTTAATTGCATATTTTCCTTCATTGCCTGTTAATTTTCAAAGAATCATTGCCAACCTTAGCTTATTATGCTAATTACTGTGAATTTATTGCTCCAAACTGATTCTTCTCTCCAGTGGAAGTTGTCCCATACCATATCAGTGCTTTAAGGTGGGGATAGTTGAATTTGCTATAATGCTTGGGTGATTTCTAGGAGAGGTTTTTTGTAGTGTTTTTCCTCAGTGAAATAAAGAAATGACTGAGCTGCATCTTGAAGCAGTGTGGTTGTATGAGCATGATGCTGCACTCATGCTGCTTCTGGAAGGTAAGGGTGGGTAAAGTCCTTTTGGGGCTCAGACCAGCCCTTCCCTACAGGGAGGAGGTATCTGGTCATTCAGAACTAACACCAGTGTCTTGAAGATGGTCCTACCACAGTCTTTATAGAGGTGTAGTTCCCGCAGCATTAGGGGAATACACTTGGCAGATGAAGACATTAGAGACTAGGGGTTTCCAGTTTTCTAGGAGGTTAATTAATGCTAGACACGAGTGAGGGGAAATTCCTGTCCCATTTGAAAATATTGGCTGCTGATTTTAACAGGCTCAGAATTTCATTTGTGACATTTTATTGTGTTGTATCTCATCTTCCCTGTTTTTTTGTTTTTTTTTTGCCTAGGCCAGCTGTCCTTGTGGCAGAAGGAGATGGATGGACCAGTCTCTGCTCTTTTGCTGACAGGCAAGCTGGAAGGATGTCAGTTCTTGATTCACCTTTGGTTTGTCTGAGTGCAAGGGCTCTGCACAGCTTGTGCACAAAACAATTTCTTGGCTTTTGAGGAAGCTTTTTTTTTTGCCTTAAGATGGAGAGGGATCTTGGGGAGTTGACCATATGGTCTGTGACAGGGATGGGGGCAGGATACTTTCTCTCAGTGGTTCTAGCCATAACCAGGCAGCCCCAGAGATTATATGCTATGCCCTGGTCATATCTGTTCTGTTCAGCTCTTTAGACTCCAAAACAACATAGCCATTTCCAAACTGCCTGTTGACCCTGATCAATGCAATGTCTTCAGTCGTATAATGAAACTAATTTGAAATAAGGCCCAGCTAACCTGGGCCCAAATTGGGCAAGGAAAGCTCTAAAAATTTCACATTGCAGATAGGCTCCAGTGCCTGGGTCCTGACACAGTTCATTTATTGGTATTAATGTATCCTGGTCTCCTGTAAATTGCAGGGGACCCTTTAGACTGCTGGCGCTTGTACCTTGTTGAATTACAGAAAAAAACCCACAGATTTGGCAGCAGTATTTCTTTTATGAACGATGCACTTCTCACCGTGCCTGTGAGCCCTGGAAATGGGAGGCTGCTTTTACAGGGAACAAAGGGAAAGACCTACTCCCACAGAATTCAGTGCTATGACTCCTGGGGTCCTCAGAGGGCCCTGTTATCACATGGTATAATTTCTCCATGGCTCCCAGCAGGGGAACCTGTATATAAATGTGAGTTGATGATGGGACTTGCTTCGTTCCATGGCTCCAGAAGGTTGGTGTAATGCCAGCATATCTGGTTTAATTGTTACCTGCTCCTTCTTACTGACTGGGGACATGCTGAGGAATAGGTAGAGTGGAAACACTTTTGTTCTCTTATTCACCCTCACCGTGCACCCAGAATTTTCTCCCCTCAGCTTTTATTTCAAATGGTGGTTCTGAAGGTCACTAACAAGGTTAGCTTCTAAATTAGCTTCTTGACCCCTTCTGAAGGGGTCAAGCTGGAGTGCTGTGTGCTGCTGGGAGACATCCTCTAAAGCTGCTGAACTCCTGATCACTGGTGGGGAGATGGGTTGTTCCTCTCCCATCTCACCTCTTTCTCTTGTTTCTAAAGGTAGCCAAGCGTGACTAACCTAGTTGTGTAAGTCCACATCTTTTCTTGATTAGATGATTCTTCTTGCACCCAAGGCTCAGCAAAGCCTTTTCTCTTCACAGCTACCCTATTCAGGCAGAAGATGGACTGGGGACCCTGAAGTGCCGGGTAGAAGGGAACCACATAGGTTGGTGAAAAAGGGGGAAAATCATGGGTGCTCCCATCTATTCACAGTCTCTCTGGTAGCAGGCTGGATCCATTTCATTTTTCCTTACTTCCAAGAACTCTGAAAAATCTTCTGATTTCTTTCCAGGGCTTTGTCTGAGCAGTAAGCTTCCTGCTTGGGAAAGATGATCTGAGTTAAATATATAAAATAAAAGTTAATATCTAGCTCTCATATAGCCACTGATAAGATATCTTGGGATATCTGGGATCTCTTCAGTCAGGTGTCAGAGATAATGGAGGTCTTGAAGGAGTTCTACACCTTAGTAGCATGCTAAGTGAGGTCAGATAGGATCCACAGGAGGGTCTAAGATGACACAAAGCTTAGCCAAACAAATCCTGTACTTGAGATTCAGCTTGCAGGTTCAGATACATAACTGTAGGTAGCTGCAGTGCAGTGTTTACCCGTGATGTAAGGTTCTAAGCTCCCTAAGCAGATATCCAGCTCAATTCCTGCACACACTGCTGAAATCAGCACAGTTATACTGTTGTATGGGGGAGGAGAATCAGACCAGGGCACCTGGACAAGGTTTGGTAGGATGCACTTTTTATGGAACCCCCCACACTTCTGCCGTAAATCTTATTACTTTTCTCTCCTACAGGGTCCCACAATGTTAGCTTCTCGGTGTATAACAAAGGAAAGTGAGTAAAAGACTCTTTTTCTCTCTTTTTCTGTGGTTTCCCATGGAGACACAGCTGCATTTGAGTTCAGGATAAGTGTGTGATGTTTTTACTGAATTTTATGTTACGTTGCTTAGAGATGAGGTTTTGTTATCTTGAGAAGATGATCATCAGATTGGGAATGAAAAGGGAGAATGTTCCTGCCCCAAAGCATCTCCACTTTGGGGTTTTAATACTTTAGCTTCAGTGCCCAAAGTATAAGTCATCTGTTAAACCGAGCTGAATAGAATCCTTTCGGCTCATTTTTAACTCTTCGTCCAAATGGGAAATAATTTAGCTATAAAAGGGGTGAGAATGGGTTTTTGCAGTGTCAAAACCATACTTTACAATGGGGCAGTACTTCTAATAAAAAGATTCAACCGTGTCATGGAGTCTCTTAAATCAATGCCTCAATGTGCTGGTCCTTGTAGAAATGTTCCACTGCTCCTCTGGAGTGCAAATGTCCAGCTCTGCCAAAAGAAGGTCCACTTTAACTTAAATGGCTGAGGATCTCTGAGGCATTTTCTCTCTCTTGCAGGTCAGCAGTACACAAAGGTGCTTGGCTCATCAGTGCCAAACAGGAGCTTTTCTTGTATCAAACGCATTCAGGTATTGCATGGATCAGCCTCACTGCCTGCACTGTCTCTTGGTAGTCCCCACATGGTCTAAGAAAAGACTTCTTATTGCTGCTTTTCCCAAAGATGTAATCCTGTTGTGCCCTCATTTTGAGTGTGCCACTCCCCTGGTATGGGCTTGGCCACACAAAAAGCTGCAGATTAAAAATTTCAGGAGGAGCAGATTTATGTGCTATGGATGTGCTGCCACGGGCTACATCCTACATCCCCAGTGAGTTACTGCTCCTCTCAGATAGGGGTATGTTTGAACTCCAATTTAGACATCCTAACCTGAGACAGCCAGCCAGAGAACAGCAGTATGGCAGGGTTTGGAGTGTTGTTGCTCTATCGTTGTTCCTTTTATTGTCAGATCAGCTGTAGGCTTGAGATGTTGCATCCAGAGAAGCCTTTCCCCCTTAAATCCCACTGCATTTGGTAAGGTTGAGATCTTAGAAATGCAGACCATAAGAGGAGATAGATCCCACATCAGCTACAAGGAGGAGATGATATTCAGCTACTCCAAGGATTGAGTTCTGAACAAATGGTGAATGGCAGGTTCTGGATAAATTAATTCTGATAAATGAGGTTCTGGTTGAGTTCTGGATAAATGGTGAATGGCACCAGTAGTTATAAAAAAAGAGAATTAAGGTATATGAACAATAATAACCTCCATGTGACATTTCCAGCTGTATTGTATAGAGAAGACAATGAAATCCTGAGCACCCACTCAACATTATGGTCATGGGCAAATAGCATCCAAGATTCAACAAGACTCTGTGACCAATAGCCAAAGAAGAAGTAGGGGATGAGAGACTGCAAAGCACTGGGCAGTCTTTGACCTTAGTCAGAGGCTGGTGACCAATAGCCAAAGCAGAAGTAGGGGATGAGAGACTGCAAAGCTCTGGGCAGTCTTTGACCTTAGTCAGAGGCTGGATAAATCCAAAAGGCCCTTTGTTTCACCTGCACAGGTCCCCAGCAAGGTTCTGTCGTTAAGTTGCTGAAATTAATCTAAAGAATGCACTGGTTCCTTATGGGCTGTATCCGAGAAGCTTGGTTCGAGAGAAAACAAAAGTTGGGTGTTTGGTTTTTTAGAACACAGCCAATACATGCCTGCTTTTTGTATATTGTTTATAGCATACAGCTTGTTTCACCTATACATTCAAGTCACTTTGTAAAGGAGGGTAATTTTATGTCAAATTTTATTTACAAATAAAAGCATGGTAAAATGAAATAACCCTGAATGGATCTGGCTATTGGCAGAGCAACAGCATAAACAAGGTCCACCAGATCTCTCCAGTAAACAGTACTGCACTTGAGAACAGCCAATATTGTAAAGTATTGTTTAAATAGCAGATAAATTAAGAAAAACATGCATATCTGGGTAAACGTCCCTCGTATTTTTATGAGTCTTTTTTTTATAACTATACAAATACAGTTGTGTGGTTAAGCTAGGACATTGGAGTGCAAAGTGAGTAAATGTCCTCAAAGAGAAAACTGGGTTTCCGGTGTGGAAGGGCATGACTATAACAGAGGTAAAATCATGGAAGATTCTTGTAGTCGTGATGTGAAAATTCAGGTGTCAGATGTTCAGCTCCCTCCATTAGTCCCTGAAGCCTAAGGGACAATTGGAAAGTGCAGTAACATTTAAACTTACAGTCTAAATCAAGAAGCGAGTCAGACAAGGTCGAAAGGATTAAAACAGTTTTAATTCCACCCTCTTTTTCACAGGTCTGCTCCATAGCACAGAACATACTGGTTTGCAACCTGAGCATGACAGATGCAGCCACTGCTCAGTGACAGTGCAAGCTGTACAGTATTTCTCCTGCCATGAGGTCGAGTTATCCGTGTTGTTCATTCCTGGTGTAATCCCAGCGGCTGCCAACCCCCCCGTGAAGGATCAGGGGGATTCCCATTTCATTCACAGGAGCCTGCTCTGGCTGGAAACAGTGCAAGTGCACTGCTGGCTTGGACAGAAATAGGGCTGGGATTAACGTTTCCAATGGCTTTTTTCAGATCTCCCCTTTTCCTTCCTCTGTAGAAATAGCCTCTGTGTTCCCAGCTGGTGGGAGTCTCGGGGGAGGCACAGACCTCACTGTCATGGGGGATTTCTTTGAGGAGCCAGTGCAGGTCACTGTTGCAGGTAAGAGTAAAAATGTGTTAAATGTTGGGGTTTTTTTTTGGTTGTGGTTTTTTTGATTATTATTTTAAATTTAATTTTTTCTAAATACAGTAGTAATGGCCCTGACCACAAAACCCACCTGTTTTCTTTTTTAAATACAGTAGTAATGGCCCTGACCACAAAACCCACCTGATGTTGATGGATACAAGTACCGGAATTGTAGGACTCACCATCAGGAAGGTCCAGTTATTCTGACTGTGGGCATGGACTGTTTTGCTTGCTTGACAGTACACTTTTTCAGCAAAGTGTTGACCCTTTTTGGAAACAAGATGGTTTCATGCTGCGGCTCAGCCATGTTTTCCAAGTCTCACACAGCACGTTTGTCTTCTTTTGCTGCTTCCAGGTGTCCCCTGTAAAGTCAAGCACGTCTCTCCCCAGCAAATCAGATGCACAATTGAGCCTGTTGGCAAGGGCAGGAGGTTTGGTGCCCCCCAGCCAGGTATGGCATTGAAATAACTGAAGGTCCAAATGAGCAAAAGCACAGATGGAGGGCAGAAATTGTTTGGTGATGAATGTAGTCAATAAATGGCGTTTCCCAAAACTTGGTCTGCTTCAATATCAAGCCAGTTTCTCTTAGGTTTGATAAAAAGGAGGGCCATGGATATTATCCAAGGTCTGGAGCACCTTTGCCATGAGGACAGGCTGTGAGACTTGGGGTTGTTCAGCCTGGAGAAGGCTTCAGGGAGATATTATAGCCCCTTCCAGTCCCTAACTGGGGCTTATAAGAAAGATGGGGACAGATATTTTAACAGGTCCTGTAGTGATAGGACAGGGGTAATGGTTTTAAACTAAAAGAGAAGATTCAGATTAGAGAGAAAGAAGACACTTTTAACAATGAGGACTAGAGAGAAAGAAGACACTTTTAACAATGAGGGTGGTGAAACCCTGGCCCAGGTTGCCCAGAGAGGTGTTCAATGCTCCATCCTTGGAAACATTCAAGTTCAGGTTGGACGTGACTCTGAGCAACCTGATCTAGTTGAAGATGTCCCTGCTCATGGCAGGGGGGTGGACTAGATGGCCTTTAAATGTCCCTTCCCCCCCAAACTATTCTATGATTCTATAGCAAAGAGAGGCAAGATGGAAAGTTCAGCCCACCATTTGGCAATGGGTGATGGTGGGAGGAAGATGTGTGTAGGGCTCTGGAGAAGGAAGGGGAAAGAAGTATGGATGATATTTAGAGGAAGCATAGCTTATCTCATTTTGACTGTGGGTGATCTCAGCACCTTTTCTTGCAATAGCAGATGTGAGCTTGGATGGAAACTTTGCTCTCTGCAAATTTCCATTCCTTCCAGTGGAGGATTTCAAGTTAGAACAAATTCCCTAAAGTGAGATCTGTGTTCTGCCTTGGACTGCAAAAAAGACCCACAAACAGAGCCAATTCATTATTAAAATTTTCTCTTTTGGCTTTCCTCCTTATACCACCACTGATTCTAGCAGGTGCTCTGGGATTTTTGTTGGCTGCTACTGAGAAGGCTTTCATTTTAACTTTCTAGGAAACAGAGGGCTTCTCTTTGAAGTCTGGGATGATGCCTCTGATCTGACAGAAGCAGGTCCTGGATATAGATGGCAGTTTGTACCTAATGCCAGTTCCCCAGTAAGATTTCTGTCTGGGGCAAAGAAGACCTTCAGGTACTCAGTGATGTTAAAAAAGAGATGAAGCAACGGCAATCACCTTTAGCATTGTAAGGTGTAGAAATAACACCTGACAGCTCTTTATAGCAGAGCCTTGCTGCACAGCTCCTAGAAATCAAAGCAAACCCTCTGCTCTGAGGTCCTTTTGAAGCTCAAAATATGCAGTGAAGTGCTTTATTTTTCCTCCTTTTTCTTTTGCTTGGTATTTCTGCTCTACCTGGCCTATATGTGCTGAAATACCATGAAATTAATTGTTGCAGAGGTAGAAGGAGCTCCAGTTTGAGCTTGTCCTGGGCTGGAGCTCTGGCCAGATCCTCAGCTGATGTTGGCAGCTGCAGCATGGGTCGAGTTAATGGAAAGAAAGTGATTTAATCCACACTGATAAAATACCTGAACCATGTTGATGCCCATTGACTCTTCAGATACGCCCTTGAAAAGCTGTGTAATATGCATGAATGTTTTCATTTTTCTATCATTTCTCTGTTTTCCTGAGTTGATCTTGCATGTGATTTTTGAGCCTTTTCCTGCCTGTTCAGGGTTAAGACTTTGCTTGACCAACAAAAGGTGACCTAGAACAGTATCCCCAAAGCCATACTTATTTTTACGGAGCTGTTTTTTGTTTGGTTGGTTGTTTTTTTTTCCTTTTTGAAACCTTCTGTGAAGCATAAATGACATTTAATGTGAAAACGGTTCATTTTGAGGTTCCTTCAGTTTTGAAAACCCTAAGTTTGGTTTTTTTTGCTATAACTTGGTTTCACAGGCTTTCCTTCTTGCTCAGTGTACATGTGAAAGTGGGGTGTGGGGCTGTTTGTTTTGTTTTTTTTTTTTTCAAGTAACTCTTGTATATTACGGATGTTCTACTTCTGCTTAGCTCCAGGCTTCGTGGATTTTTTGTGGCTCCTCAGACCAACAATTACACCTTCTGGATTCAGGCAGATGGTCAGGCATCTCTCTACCTAAGTTTGTCCCAAGATCCAGAACATAAGGTATTACTCTTGGCAGAGAAAAAATGAGATCAGGATAGGAAATGGTTTTAATTAAGGTCATGACAAGTGGGAATTTCCCCAGTGTGAATTGGATTATTGGCTCTTACTATGAATCTGTTGCGGAGTGAAATCTTGTGATTATATTTGATATTTTACATTGGCCTTATCAGCTATATAGCTCATGAAAAAGTCAGTCTTGTGACCAGACTCTGTCCTTTCCAGAAGATCACTATCACTAACAGTCTGTGCAAGGGGACCGGAAGGTTCCTTGGTTCACCTCCTTTTATTGCTGGTTGAAATTTTGCCCTCTGAAAACGTTGGTTCTTCCCTTTGTAAAGCTGAGATGATACTAAAAATAAAGGTGATCTATTTCTCTGGGTTATTCTTAAACCAAGTAACTGAAGATGGCTAAAAGAAATGTAAAGGACTTCTTATTTATTTAAAAAAAAAACCCTAACATTACTGGTCTTGCTAAGGGTAACATATTATACTTCACAAATCTGTTGGCATAATTCTTTTGTATTTGGGGGGCATGGGATATAGAACTGAAATCGTCCACGAAAAGTTGCATGGAGAACAGTTATTAGGGTTAGGGTCAGCCATAAGAATTATCTTCTTTATTATTTTGAATGCTAAACCAAAAGTCTTTGAGATTATGGCTTTTTTCTGTATAACAGGAAGGAGTGTGTCAACCATCAACCCACTGCTATCAGTTATAAGTGCAAGCCTGGGATTTTTTTGAAGTTGTGGTATTGGACAAAGTGTCTTTTGGGGCTGGAAGAATGTCTTTGTAACTGATTGACTTGGTTGGTCTGGACACAGGTGAGAATAGCTTCTCTCCCTGCCGGCAATTCGGAGTGGTCTGAGAACTGGGTGAAGAGCTGGAGCGAGCAGTGGCAGCCAAAATCCCAGAAATTTGAGCTAACTGCTGGCTCGAGGTACTACCTGGAAGCGCTGCACCATGGAGAGGCACCCAGCAACGGGATGAGGGTTGGAGTCCAGATACATAACACCTGGCTGAATCCCCACGTGGTGAACAACTACTACATCGAGAGACACGAAATTCGGGCTCACTCCTTGCGTCTTCCAGAAGTGCTGGTTAGTGCTGTGTGCTTGGCCCTGAGAGCTGGACTAGCCCTGAATCAGTTGACACTGATGGTAGAAAATCTAATTGTACAGGTCTTGTTGGTGCTAGACATGAAAGTGTGTTCTCACCTGGTTTTCAACCCACTGAGATAGTTGATGTGAAATAGCATCATGAGTTGAAGGTGCTCATGTTTTTTTACACTCATTGGTGGATATATGTAAATGCATTATAATGCAATACTCAACAATTAATTCTATATATGATTCTATAATGTGCTCCATATGTTAAAGTGTAAGCAATGCTAAGTCCCCTCTGGTTTTATCTCGCTCATTAATGTTTCACCTTGTTACCTAGTGTTAATTAATAAAAGCTTGTAATAGTTTTTCTTCCCCCCCACTTTAGTTAACAGCACCCTCACAGTGTGTTTTATCTGGTCAACCCTGTATTGCAATTGGATGATAGAAACTTTCAGCTTGATGAAGTGCTCAGCCGTGAGGGAAGCTTGTCCTGGTGGTTAAACCTCAGAGCTGCTGGTCAGGAGCTTTAGGGACCGTTTGTGGGTGCTGGTGTGTCTGCACAGGTCATGTACCCCGTGTGCTCCTGTTAATCTAAGAAAAGGAGCCCAAGGCTTGTGTCAGGAGAGACCACGGATGACAAAAGCAGGTTAAGAGTAGCTGAAGGGCCTCTTCATTTATAGAGGCTTAAAAAGGCAAAATGCTGGCCATAAAATCCTCCCCAGTAGAAGATACCAGGTTTGAGGTCTGTGCATCTCATGCAGTTTGTATCTGTTTTCATTTATTTATTGTATTTCTTTGCTTGCCAGATGTTGACTGTGTCTGGTACAGGGTGTTTCAGTATCTCCTGGAATAACGTATCTTGCAGAATGATCCCCACAAATGCTACAGCTCTCCAGGTAGGCATCGTTAAATGCAGTCACCCGGTCCTCTGCTGGGGTGTGATGGAGCTCTGGTACTTGACAGAAGTTAGGTGTTTGGCCCAGAAACTGAGAGAAATGTTATATGATGTAGGGGTGGGTTTTTGGGTGGGATTTTTTTGGGGAGCTGAGTGTCAGGTATATTCTAAGCATATCACAGCATCTGATCTTGGCCAGTCATGTCTGCAATGAAGTATGTGGTATCTTCAGACACCAGACCCTTGGACTTCCCCTGTAAGATCAAATGTGTAGTATATGGCTTTTGTTTCAGGCAATAGCCAAAGCAAAGAGATAATTCTGCTCCCTAGCTGATGGAAAATGCAGCGATGACTTGTGTGTTGAAGCTCTCTGCTCTAATGATCCAGACACTGTTGTACTATGACTGCTTTTCACTTTCTTAATTTTTTTTAAAGGTTCAAACAGCAATAGAGGAACTTCTTTCAATAGGATGTGAAACTGAGCCAACTTCTGCTAAAATCCTTTTCCGCGATGGCTTTGAGAAAGAAGGTAGTGATCTGCTGTGACAAATAAGCATTGTTTACTGTGAGAGCTGATTTCCTTTTATGAAGTAAATGTACTTTAAACTTTTAATGATAGTAAATTTACACTTTTAATGAGTTCGAGTACATATATTTGTTTCTCATCAATTCATTATTTGTATGTATTCCAATGGGGGGAGTTTATGGAACTAATATTAAACCCAAGATGACCAATGTAATAATGAAATATTCTTTCTGTGATATGCTGCATGACTCAGCCATATTGCAGCAGGCTTATCAAAACTGGGGATATGTTTTGGTTGTTAGAAACGTTAGAAGTAGAGACAAAAAAATGCAAGTTTTGGGGCATGTGAAATTATTCTTGTTTCAATATGTCTCCTGGGGAAGCAACTCCAGTGTAGCCCACAGCTGCAGCTCAGGCTGTGGAAACAGCTGATTCTGACTCTGGAGGTCTTCGCTTCCAGTGTTTATTGATGACTGAAAGTGAAACAGTGGAAACATCTGTGCTCTAACTGACTGAATCTGAGCAGATTACCTAAGAGTAGAACAGTTTGACAAATTTTGGATACCCACTTCCTGTGTTTTCATGAATCTCTTGACCATACTGGTGTCTTCTGAATAACTTTCAAACCTCTCATCCCTTCTTGTTCTTTTTTTTTTTTTTTTAATCTGTCAGATATGAAGGGCTTCATTACCACTGGACACATTGTCAGTGGTACAGAGCCTTTCTGTGGGAGGTTCAGCGTTCACGGACCAAGCCAGCTGGTGAGAACTTCCCCATCAACTCTACCAAGATATGATCTTACTGAATACACACATGTAAGTGGCTGCTCTCGATGAGTAGGTTGCGCTGGGAGGTGAATACTCAGAGCACAATCAGCTTTATAAAATCAGCTGATCTGTTTACATTTCTAGACCCACAAAAGTTCATGTCTTTGGACTATGCTTGTGGACAGAGCAGAGTGTCTTTTATTGATTGGGTGGGTAGTTTGAGATCCCTGTTTAACACAACTGGCTGCTATCTGCTCCAGGGGATACAACCCTTGTAGAGGGAAAGGAAAAGCTGAGATGGTGTTGTGGAAAAATGGAAGATGCAGGGATGACCACTTCTTGCCAAAAGTAAAAAAAACCCTTGCTATCTGGGGGTCTGCTTTAGCTCACTTTCCTGCTCATCTTCTTCAGCTACTTTTAATAGGAATAAGGTCTTGATTTCAACTGTCATCTCTTTTTTTGCCACCTGGGAGTGGAAAATAATTGGGTGTTGTAAGGAAAGAGGTCAGAGGGGCTTGAAAGGGAAAGATTTATCCCCAAAGCTTCCTGTGGTCCTTCCAGACTCCTTTCATTTCCCTTTCACAGACCTCTTCCAGTCCCATTTCCTCACCCGACACCACTCCCAAACCTTGCAAATCAAACCAACTCCTCCAGTCTCCTTTCTTTCCTCCCAGATACTTGAAATCCTCATTGGTATGTCCCAGCTATGTTTTGCTCCAGAACATCACTGAAGCTGAGGGGGTCAGTTTGATGCTATGTGGTGGCACACAGGTCATCTGGATGCCATGCTCTGTCTTCTATAGGTGCTATTCCAGACAATTTGGCCTTAAGTGGTGGGTTTTATGGCTGACCTTAAACAACATGTTCCCTACTAATGTCAAACTGGGATTGAAACAGAATATAATATCTTCTACAGACATTACATATAAATTACATCTGGTTTGATCTGTGATTATTTCCCCCCCATTTTTGCAGGTGTGTTTTGCCCACAAAGGGCACATGAGCAATATCCTTCACATCTCAGTGTCCTACACCAATGTCTCTTTAAGTTCAGTGAAGAGGAACATCACCTGCCTGTGGGATTTCAATAAAACTGACTCTAAAAGGTATTCAGATTCTTACAGTTTCCAAAGATGTCACTTTTCATGGTAAGAAGGTGTACCAGGAAAACTGGGAGAAGTAGGTTCTTATTTGTATAGAACAAATTGTCAGTTGGGCCAAGCTGACACTTCCTCTGGCCCTGCAAAGCCTTTCCTGCAACACACTTCCATTCTATTTAAGGACTTGTTGAGTAAATGTGCAAGTTTGTTTCTGTAAATCTGCAATAAATGTTTGTTATTACATGCACCATCTCACTGTACTAATGCACGGATGGAGAGTTTGTTCTGTCTCTGGTAATCACACAGAAGGTTTCCAAGGACGTTGGTTTCATGGTTTCTTTGTCAACAGTCAGTGGATTTTCTGCAGTGAGATAGAAGAACTGAATTTTTCTTTTTCCCAGGAAACTTATGAGATCATTGGTACACAAAGTTTTGAAAGCTGGCATAGTCTTTGATTTTCTATATTTCATTTAAAATACATGGGTGGAAAACCTTTGCAGTTAGAAATACAGTTAGGGGCAGGCAGATGAAAAATCAGGAATCTGTGAAGAACTTCAGGAAGTGAAGTTGGCAACTTGGGTATCTCTAAGGTTGTGTGATGGGTGTGTGTGCATGCCTGGAAAGGGCAGAGGGGGGTGAGATTATATTACTACATGGTGGAGAGAACTGGGAGCTCTGAGGAATCATCTGATATTCCTAAAGGGCCTGAACTCTGGATTGGCCCCTGCTGAGGTCACTGATGCTCTGGCAGAGTTTTTGCCAAAAATAGAGCAGAGGTAGTCACTCCCACATCCCCCTCTCTGACACAGAGGAGGACAGAGACATGTAGAGAGTGATCACAAGCCACTGAGCAAGTGTCTTGTGTATGAGTAACAATAATGGCAATAACAGCAGCACCTGATGTTACCTGGAAGCTTCACAAAGCACTTCAAAACAAGTGACTTCAAAAGACACTTATTGCAGCTACCTCACAGCAAAAAAAAGAGAGATTGTACAACCTTGGTGTCTTCCAGCTGGATGTTCACCTGCACTGACCTTTGGAAAAGGTGTGTGAATCACTCCACGCTTCTCCAGGATCTCCCTGAAAATTCCCCGGTGTTTGTGCATCAGATAGACTTGCAGAGCCCTGTGCTGCAAAAGAAAACACCCGGGTCATTTTATCTTGATGAAATCATCATCGCAGACAGAGCTGTGACTGGTAATCTGCTTTTTTTTTTTTCTTTTCTGTTAATGTTACCATCTTACCAGAATATTCCATTAAAATCTTTAAAGATAGGACTGGTTGAACCTTTTTTGAAGAGGAAGGGCATTTCACAGCAGGCACAGAAATAATTTGGGTTTTTTAATGTTTTTGTTTTTTTTTATGAAAACCATCATGAAGGAATCGCCAAATAACGATATTATTGGTTTATTTGAAAACATGTTTCTACAAATGTAACTCTTGAATGGTCTTGTCCAGACAAAAAAAAATTAAAAAAATAAAAAAAATCCCAAGAAGATATGTTTCCAGTGATGAAATGAAAATAATCTAGGTATAGTAACAGCTGTTCTCCTTGTTCTAATAAATGCTTGTGCTCTTTTTCTTTCAGTTTCTCAGAGAGATCCCAAACCACCTTGGCCAGGTGGGAGGGTAGTTGAAGAGGTGTCTGTGGTGGGGTCTTCTCCTACTTACAACGTGTCCTGGATGGCGCCTGGTTGTGGTGCAAGTCTGCCCCTTCTCTCTCTAAGGTAGGGACAGTGAGTAGATTTTCTCAGTACTCAGTAACGTGTCTTGTAGGTCACTCTGATGTGTCTGGAGCAGGTTGTTGTCTAAGACAGGACATTAGAGGCAGTGGAGGATAAGACTGCAGCTTGGAAATCACCGTGCTTCTGTTGGAGTCTTCTCCCCTAGGCATTTCATAATCCTATTCGGCACAAAGGAAAAGACTGACGTGACAATGCCTTGGAGATGTTCTTCTTGCCTTAAGAAGATCAATCTCTTCAGTTTATAAAAAACAAACAAAAAGACAAAAACAGATTAAGAGACGGATTGATCACAGTACCTCTCACAAGGAAAGGAAAAAAAACGGTGCTTGACACTGGCTTCTCCACCTTACAGAAGAAGATGTAAGAGAAACTACTTTTTGACACTGAAGCCAGGAAGACTGGAAGACAGAAATCAGTGCATGGTTTAAAAATCGGTGGGCTGATCTCTGTCTTTGGATACCTTCAAAACACACCTGGCTCTTTCTCCGAACTGAGCACGTGCTGTGCTGTGTTCTAATACAGCTTTCTGCAGTCGGTTCAGGGTTATTAGGTAAAAATCTGCTGTACCAGCTGTACGCCCAATGAGAAGGCTCGGTGGTCCTTTTGGTTTTGGATTATTGAAAAATAGAAGCAGCTGCTGCTGAGCTCTGGGTCTTTAGCTGCCATCCAGACACTTAACCACATGGTGGCATCATTGTATCACAGAGAGTCTCTCCTTTGAAAAAGGAGAATTTTAGTGCTAAGGGAGAAAATATTTTAAGTTTTAGAAATTGGGTAAACTTTAATGTGAAATATTACTGAAATTCAGGGGAATTAATATTTTAACAGACTCGAAGAGGTTACAGGATGAAGCAGGAAAGCTTTTTGCCATGTTGTAGCTGCTGCCCAGGCTACATTGAGTTGGTCCTTTAAAAACACCAGTACAGGGGCAGGACTTGCTTGTGCTTGGTGTTGTATGAACTGTTTCTTCTACCTTAAATAAATAGATTTTTTTTCCATTTTTTTCTGTTTTGTGCATTGCCTACATCGTGTAGGTTTAATTTGGGAGTACTCAGATCATTTTGAACTCTGAACGTGTTCTCCATACGTCCCTCAAGAGTGTTCCATAGGTATCCCTCTGCTGCTGGAGACATGGGGGTGTCAGAAGTGGGGGTCTTGACTGCTAATGGCTTCATCTGAACCCTCTCTGTCACACAGAGGTGCTTTGCTTGGGGAGGGCTCTAAGGAGTATGGCCACCTCTATGTCTCCACGGAGGATGTGAGAGTCAGCCTCACCATTCAGAGACTGCAAAAGTCATCCCCACCTATTGGAGGGACCTTCTCCATCCACTTGGCCAATATAGTGATATCAGGTAAGAGAAGATGCAAGTACAGGTCCTGCATTTCCTTTGCCATGAGCCAAGTGAAGAAGAGACAATATAGAGCCTTGGAAATGCTTGAGATACACGCTGACTCCCTCTCTCTGCCCCTCTTATCTAGGAAGTTTCCAACCTTTCTATTTTGAAGGAAGAAGACTTGTACACTGAAATTTCATGTCTCCCAAAACTGTAGATTGCACATAATAGCAAGTATTACTTAGACAAAATTTCTAATGGTTACAACTGGAGACAAGTTTTGCGGTTTTCTAAGCTATTAAATAGTGCAGATCTTTTGACATTTGGGACCCAGTAAATTTCCTTTTACTGTTTTTTTTTTTTTGCAACTAGATGTTTGAACCACAACAGACTCACACTAATAATGAAACATCTTTCTTTTCTAGGTGCAGGTAGACACACACTCCTAGGGATGAGGATATCTACTTTTTTTTTTCTGTCTTTTTCAGGTGTTTCAGTGCACGCGTCCTCCCACCACCTCCACAAGCTTTTGCAAGACAATGTAGATCACTCTACAGCCCCATACTTCAACACCAGTGACTTCATCGTGACCAAAGACTCAAACTCTTGCTATGAAAAGATCTGGACACTGACTTGGAAAACAAAAACTGGGGACTTACCCAATGTTATTAATGTACTGTAATTTCTTTTACTAATATCCACTTTGAAGTCCATTCAATATCTTTGGCCTTGGCTGATTTGTTCTCCCAGCATTTATTTTTATGCAGACATCTGTGGGACCTTAAACTAAGTGTCTTCCTATTAGGAATCGCAGCTGAAGCAAATTCCAGATTAGATGATTAAAAAAGCAATTGCAGTTACAGGAGGGGAAATTACAGTTTCAGAGTCTGTGCTTCAAAATAAGGAGGCTAGAATGTAATTTCTGTGCTTCATTTCAGTTCTGCAGAATAAAGAGAATTGCTATACTGAAGTGAAAGATATTATAATCACATTTATATTTCAATGAATAACTTAAGCTCAATGCAGATTTGTGGCATCATTTCTGGGCCAAGGAGGTCTTTTTCTGAGAGCTATTCTGTATGGGTTCATATATGGTTGTCATAAGTCTCAGACGATTTATTTTTATGCAGACATCTGTGGGACCTTAAACTAAGTGTCTTCCTATTAGGAATCGCAGCTGAAGCAAATTCCAGATTAGATGATTAAAAAAGCAATTGCAGTTACAGGAGGGGAAATTACAGTTTCAGAGTCTGTGCTTCAAAATAAGGAGGCTAGAATGTAATTTCTGTGCTTCATTTCAGTTCTGCAGAATAAAGAGAATTGCTATACTGAAGTGAAAGATATTATAATCACATTTATATTTCAATGAATAACTTAAGCTCAATGCAGATTTGTGGCATCATTTCTGGGCCAAGAAGGTCTTTTTCTGAGAGCTATTCTCTGAGAGTATGGATTCATATATGGTTGTCATAAGTCTCAGACGAAGGTTCAGTTCACAGTCTCCCATCCCAAGATTTATTGTTTAAGTTTTGCTTCATGTAGATCAGTCGTTTTTGAATAAGGACTCAGACTGAGCTGCTTCCTTGCTCAAAAAGAAAAACTATTTCTTTGTAGATCCAGCTTCTAAAAGTGTAAAATCATCTTTGATGAAGGAATGAGTTTTCATGCTCAAGACCTCGTGACCTGGACAGTGAAAAAAGCTTGTGCTGCACCTTCAGCTGTAGCACAGGCCCTTGTTCAACCAGAATCATATCTTTGAGAAGCAGACATTCAAATCTCTTCCCACGCCTAATTCCAAATGATATTATTACTGAGTATTAGAAGTTTATTTGCAAATGTGGTTCCTCAATCTCTTTGCCTCAGTTTCTTGGCTGCAAGATGAGGACAGAAACAGGGAGGTGCTCTGAAGCCATAGGTAATGAAAATTTAAACCTGGATATAGGAGTTACTGAAGAAGCTTGAGAAGAGGTTTCCAGGAGCTATTTGTTGTATTGTAAAGACCTTCTATGAACTCTGGGAGAATAGTTTCAATTTAAAAACATGGGATGGAAAAGGGGGAGAAACTTAAATTCTTTGTTCTTTACCAGGTCTCTGCTGAAAACCTCGCTGGTCTGAAGCCAACTGTTTCTAGTCGTGTGGTCTATGATGGAGGTGTGTTTATTGGGCCGATATTTGGGGACATGCTTGCGACCTTCAACAATAAAACACAGGTGAGATGTGCTGTCATGTTTCCTATTGATTTGTCTGGGTTGTGTAGATCCAGGAGTCTCACAGGTTTTCAGTTACCTACCTCAATCACCAAATCCTACAGCTTCATCCTTTGCCATAAACCGGTCAGATTCTACTCCCTAGTTTGTGGAGCAGGACTTTCCTCCAAGAGCTATTGCAGGTGGTCAGAATGGTCATCATGGGTGACAGAAGATGATTTATATCTTTTGAGGCTGGCCAAGGGCTTATATACTCTCTGGACTTCCATCCTTGCTGGGTCCTACAGTGTTTGCCACCAAACTTGGAGATGACAATTTATTCATCTGCAGCGTTCCAGCTGATATACTGATGAGCAAAATAAATGAGATGGTGGCTGTGGTACTAGTCTGTGAAGTAAGCAAGTCCATCAGCCTCTGTGAATCTCAATTCTTCGTGTGTGAAAAGGGAGCAAGGAGGGCTTCCTGGCTGAATGAGTCAGCTGGATGGACAAATGTGTTGTAGAGCAGTGCACTTTGCTGGCTTTGCTGTCAGTGAAGACTGATGGGCACTGTAGCAATAACAAGGTGATGCTGGATGTGCTCAAAGACCAGCTGTGCAGAATCTGGGGCTAGGTCATCCTGTTTTTCTGGCAAGTCTGTTCCCCAATATGGAGACTACCTCATTTCCAGTGGCTGAGCCACCTATGATATCTTTGCCATCTGTGGTGCAGACATACCTTCAAATAGACTGAATGAAACAAGAAAAGCAGCAGCAGTCAGATTTCTTCTTGATTTTTGAAGCTTTATTTCGGGTTGCTGCTAGATGACAGGGTAAAAATGTTCCTCTAATTATTGTTTCTATTCAAGCAGAGTATTTTACAACTCTGTGCTCCTTTAGCTTTTTTGGAGACACTCTGCTTCCACTTTTTGCAGACATTGGTGTACCCTCCTGAAACACCCTTAATACCCGTGAGACAGATGAAGAGGGGCTCTCTTACGCCCTATGCTTTGCCACCTGACTCTCTTCTGAGATATCGGGATCTCAGATGAGATATCTCTTGCTAGATATCAAGGTCACACAGCCCAGCTTTCTTGTTTCAGTGTGAACAACAAGGGAAAAAAATAATTGAAGGCTGCATGCTGAAAAGACACATTCTGAGATTCATTCTAATTAGTTAGCAGGTTGCTTTAAACATAATAAGCTTGTTCCCAAGGCAGGATGGGAAGAACTGGGGTATACGGCAAGCAGGGTCTTCAGTGGGTGCCTAGAAGAACAGGAGTTGGGAGGAGCTGGAGGTCCAGGCAACACGGGAGATAGGATCCTGCAGACACCAAGAGCGGGTCCAGAGAAGGGCAACGAAGCTGGTGAGGGGTCTGGAGCACAAGTCTTACGAGGAGAGGCTGAGGGAACTGGGGTTGTTCAGTCTGGGGAAGAGGAGACTGAGGGGAGACCTTATCGCTCTGTACAAGTACCTGAAAGGAGGCTGTAGAGAGACGGGGGTCGGTCTCTTCTCCCAAGTTACAGATGATAGGACAAGGGGTAACGGCTTCAAGTTGCGCCAGGGGAAGTTCAGGTTGGATATTAGGAAACATTTCTTTACTGAAAGGGTTATCCAGCATTGGAATGGGCTGCCCAGGGAGGTGGTGGAGTCACCATCCCTGGAGGTATTTAAGAAACGTGTAGACATGGTTCTTCAGGGCATGCTCTAGTGCCCAAGATTACTGGTTTGTGGTGGGGTGCTGTGTGGGTGGGTGATGGTTTTTTGGTTGGAGGTTGTTGTGTGTTTAGGTGGTGGGAGCTGGTGTTGTTTGTTTGGTGTGTGTGGTTTTTTTGGTTTTTTTTTGTTTGTTTTTTTTTTTGTGGTTGGACTCGATGATCTCTGAGGTCCCTTCCAACCACTACAATTCTGTGATTCTGTGATTCTGTGAAAGGCTGGTGATACAGCTTCCAAAGCTGTGCACTGTTTTGCCTAAGACTGAGCCCTAACAAGCTTTGCAATTAAATTTGTAATGAGGCTGCAGCAGGATAAACAGCTGTCTGTCAGTGCTCTGTGCTGGCATGGAACGCTCTTGGTAACTCAATGTGGCTACTGATATCACTCTGCAGGTATACGAGGTGAATGTGACTCTAGAAAACACCTCTGTTCCCTTCCCAGGTTTAGGATAACCTTCTTCTCTGTCTCCAGGTGGTGGTGGCGGTGAATGATGTCCTTGCAAACTGTTCTGGTTCGTGCTCTTTCCAGTTCAGCCAGGAACTGACACCCTCAGTCAGTGATGTGGAGTATTCATCAGGTAACGGGGCTTTGTGTCTGAATGAAGTGGCCGAAATGCTGCTCAGTGAAAAAAGATCTGTCAGATGCTGATGATTTTGTGTGCATGTTGTTTTGAAATTTCTGATTTTTATGGAAACTGCACTTGGTAGTGGGACAATTCTGATCAGCACCAGTCTTAAAATAAGTAGCCCAGACATGTTTTTGCATTGACAAGAAGATGGTAGAGGCATAAAGGTGAGATAAACAGTGACAACGCTGGTGTTTAAAGCCAAAGGTGGCTCTTGGTTCAAGTTACTTTTAACAAAAAATTTATAAAACCAGTAACAGATGAACAGGGTCAGGCAGGAATAGACATTATGTCTGAGGGACATTGAGAGATCATTGATGTTGTACTTTTTAGGATGTCCTGATGAATATGGGAAAACCTTTTAACTGTTGGTTGAAGGTAAATCTTGGGTATCGCTACACCAAAATTCAAGAATGATCTTGTTGATTATATTTCTTTAGATGATGGGTCCCAGGCCACGGTAGTTATCAGGGGAGCTGGCTTCATTGAGGAGAAAGCAGCTCTGCGGGTAGAGGTGAACAACACGAACTGCCACGTCATAACATTGAATCAAACCCAAGTGGTTTGCCAGATGGAGAGGCTGCCAGTTGGATGCTACCATGTGACACTACTGGTGAGACCTTATGGCTTTGCACTCAATGCCAGCACAGGAGAAGGCATCTTCCTAAGAGTTGAACCAAAACTGGTAGCTATCGAACCTCCTACAGCTTCAGAGATTGGTAAGTCTGAATACCAGACTGGCTCTAAGGGGACATCTGCTTTCTACTTCTTGCTTTTCATGGTGTTTTTTGGTTCTTCTGTAATTTTGCCTTACCTTTTACCTTGGTAAATGTCTTCACCTGATGAAAAAGACATAACATGACTGGACACATTGTACCCCAAAGCATTGGGGCAGGTTTCTTAAAGAGTGACAGACTGTAGAGGTAACCAGTTTCCCAACTAGTTTTGTTTGGGAATAGTAAGTTCGAGTGCAGTTATATTTGTTCCAGCAAACTAGATGGATGTTAGTGTTTCATGGCTCATCTTCCCATATCCATTTGACACATAGCTTTGTAATATTTGAATTAACCTGGCCTAATTTACATCACATATGAAAATCATCATAAAAGCTCAGTTGGTTTGTAATATAGCCATATGAACACATACACGTAAACACTGCATTAATAAAGTTCCTGCCTGAGCAGTCTGTCTGTCCCCTGCCTGAGCAGTCTGTCAGTCCAGCCATACATAGTCCTAAAACTCTGCAGTGCTGATAACTAGAGCAAACAGCTGTAATTTTTAAGCAAAATGTCTTTTTTTTTTTTTTAGCCAAAGGATCATTGCAACTCATCTGTCCTGTATGTGACACAGATGAGAAGACTCTGCCTGGAAGTCCCAGCAAGACACCTGGCCAACTGTAGCTAAGCCAAACCAAATGCTGTAAAAAGCCACCATTTCTTTCTTTGGGAGAGATAAGAATCTCCCCAACCCAATGAGAACTGTGAAGAATGCTCTTGACATATGTGGGTTGTGCAGCAAGGACCAATGGTCTCCCTGTATGACTTGTTTTCAAGCAGAAAAAATATGACCCAGGCCTACTCTGACAGTAAAAGTTATCCAGATTTTGTCTGCAAATCTCCTGTTTTCATTACTGAGGTGCTTTGATTTCATGGTAACAAACGTCACTGAGTGCAGGAGTACTGGCCTAGGTGCAGCATGAAGCTAGTTTAGCCATGTGGCTTGGACAACTGACTGTGTCGTGCTTGGCTGCCTTGGAGCAGCAGAGGGAGGGAATTATGGTCTGTGAACCTCTGTGTGGATGAGCCATGGGATGGTCTTGGGTTAATGTAGGAGCTGAAAAGCAAGAGTTATGGCCACCTCTTTTCTTTATGTTTAGCAAGAAAGATATTCTAACCCTTTTCTTTCCTCTTTTTTTTTTTTCTCCTCCTCTCCAGGGGGAGGGTCATGTAGTACAGAAGGCTGATACTCACGGCTTTAATTCATTAAAAACACCCTAAAAGGAAAAAGCCAGCAATGGGAAGTTTTAGTGCTTGGGCCTTGCTTCTCATTTCCTTCACTGACAATCCAGTTCTTCTCCCAATTACAGTGATCTGTCACTCATTAAAAAGAAAGCAAGTATAGTGCTCTCTTACATTACATATGCCTTGAACATTTATAATTGGAAAGAATTACAGCTTCCATCTGTGTTTTTAATTTCTTCCATTTAAAATACCTCTCTTCAATCTTATCGTAAAGCACACATATGCAGTATTTCATTGCATATGGATATGTGTAGATGTCAAAACTTAAGAGCACCAGCCTTTGCACAACACACATGGATTTTGCACTCTAAATCTGAGGCTCCTTATCTGACAACTATCACATTAGACAAGTGGCTTCAGTTCTGAGTTCTTGCTGTTTCTGGCTCTGTAAATACAACCTTACAGGAGAGGATGCCAGGAACCATTGTGTATTTTGTTGCATTGGGTGCCTCTTGCCAAAATATCAGTGGTGCCAGCCTGGGAGTTCCCTGTGGATGCCCAGGCATTGTTAGCAGCAGTGCTCTTTGCTGTGTGGCAAAATTATAACCAGGGTGACGCTAATAGTTCAAGCGGAGGGATAACTGCCCATGACTATGATTTACCACTGTTTAATTTACTAGTATGGATACAGCAAATGAAAATCTGCATAGTCTGGGATTGTTTTAAGGTTTCTAACTCCCCACAGATGTCCCTTTAAAGTCAACATAACAGTATATATTTAAGTAGAGTCTGGTGTATATACAAATTTAATCAGTGCCCATGTGTGTGACCAGTGAAGTATGGAGATGCAGGAATATAGGGAATAACTTTTTTTTTTTTAATTGGTGCATTGCATTCTTATCCCTGAGACTTTCCTCATTTCTGTTTCTAGGGGACAGAAGATGCTGCTGTCCATGTGACACTAATTTCTGAGGACCAGTCAACAACAGTAACCAACTTGTTCCGCTATGATCCTTCCTTAAACCCTGCTGTTGTATCACTGAGCAGAAACAGAAGTGGCATAGCAGGTGAAAAGGCTGCAGACATGTTTTGTGCATCATCTGTAGAAGTGTTACTATTGCTGATGGTGGTGAGGCAGAGGGAATTTAGGTCTATAGACTTTACTGATCTGACGCTGTTTCTTTGTTGTGTTCTTTTAACTTGTAGTCCCTGTGTTTTCTGCTAAACCTGCTCAGTCCTGGTTGTTTTATATTGGTTTTACTTTAGCATACATGAGATAATTACTTACTTGCCCTAGGCCAGTAGGGATGATGTCCACAGGATGTCAGTTGGACTATAGTGCTCCATTTGTGTCATGTTTCTCTATCTCTGCTCTGAAATTAGACCGTCCGTTTATTCTTGGTAAGCCATGACAAGAGAGATAAACTCTAGAGAGTGTCCTCCAGGATCCCAAAGAGTTGATCATAAACCCCATTATGTACATTTTGGGTTGCTGAAAGCAAAGTTCCCATTTCCAAGCCAAACTGTTTCTTCCAGTTTGAGCTTGTGGTCTTTTACTTTAGAATACGAGCATAGACTTCACAGACTTTGTAGGGGCAAAGTCCTGAGTAGATCTCATGGGATGTTTAGCATTTCTGTCTTTTGACAGTTTGGGTTTCAGTTTTTTGCTTATTTCTCCCCTTCCCCCTGGTCATTTTTTTTCTTCTTCTTTTTCCCCACGGGGTTTTGGTTGGGCATTGGGAATAGAAAGCATTAATGGACCCCACAGGGTTTTGGTTGGGCATTGGGAATAGAAAGCATTGATGGTGAATGGTGACCACTTACAGACAATCGTTTAGGAAGAAGGTTTACTACATTTCTGTGTGGCAACCAAACACCAGGTTCCTAGTATCTGAAAGGGGGATCAAGGCAGAGAGGAAGAAGACAGAAATATTCCTGCTTTCCTACCCACCCCACTCCCATTCCTCCAAGGATGCAATCATTTCATCATTATTTTTTTTTCTTCTCTTTTCACTGCCTCTCCAGTGCCCTCCTTAATAAATGTCCCCCCCAAGCTCAGCAGTTTGGCTGGACTTGGTGGGGATGCGAGGAATTAGGTGACTGGCAGTGACGAGGTGCACTCCTTGCTGCACGCCCGGCATTTCTATTCCTTTCCCCAAATGCCCTTGTCATTTTCTATTACTCCAGAATGCATAAATAAGAGAAAACGTCCTTTATCATCTGAATATTATTCAGATACCATAGCACCAAGGGGAGATTTTTCTAGCCGCGGGCAGCGCAGGTGCAAGGAATTCCTTAATGTTATAGCGTCTCGTGAACGCTGGTGTGGCTGAGTTCAATCTTCCATTCAGAATCTCCACGGCATCGCCTTTTAATATCATTTTCCTCCTATATAATAAAAAGAATAAATAAATTACACCAATGCCTTCCAGGCATCTAGGATTAAGCTGACAATTGACCAAGAGCCCAAAGAGTTCACGTTATTAATGTATTCAACTTTGCAGGTTTTCAAACTTTTAAACTTTATTTGACTCTTTGCGCTTACAGAATTGAAAAGTGCTGGTTCAAGACCTGCTTAGGGGAGCTTTGTACAGACCCTCTTGCTTTGTGAAAGGGAGAGATTTCTCCAAAGCTGAGGCTGCGGAGCTGAATGGTAACGGAGACCGTGCCTGGGGGAGCAATGCTAAAAGTAGGTGATCCTGGTCTCTGCTTGGGAGACAAAATTGCTCCTCAGACCTGAGTCTCTAGGAAGAACAGACTAACCCATAAAAGCTCATTTTGATTAAAACAAGGTTAGACTGTAAAGTAGATGAGCTGCTCCTGGGTACTGTCCTGTGTGGCTGGGATAACAGTGTCACGTGCAGCATTGTTTTTAAAATGGAATGACCCCAGTGAAGAAGAGGAGCAGGCAAAAGTGAAGCTGCTCTGGGCCAGCTGATCTTCACCAGCTCTTCTGGAGCAATTCTGTGGGTAGGCAGGTGTTTTGGGCTGTCTGGGTCAAGGGGACGGTAAAGAGATATTAACAGCTTTTTCTTGATGAGTTTAGGAAAGGGATTTATGTAAAACAGTGGTCTATGACAGCAGCAAGTTGGACTTGAAGACCCCTTCTTGTCCTCTTTATTCTTGCTTCTGTACAATTGAAACCACACCCTTCAGAGGAGACTGGAGGATGAGATTCACCTCCTAAACATGTCTTTCTTTGTGCTTGTTGCTTAGATGTATTACAAAGTCACTGCAGAGAAGTAGGCAATACTGTGGTGGGATTCACCACAGCCCATTTGGATGTCCTCCTTACAAGAAAAAGAATCATGCCATAAAGACTCTGTTTCTTTTCACTGGCTACAGACCTAGCCCTCTCAGTGAAAACTGGACTAATGCATACCACCCTCATTTTTTAAGGTATTTCAGGAGGAATTGAGGTTCTGAAATTCCCTTCTCTCCTGCCCTTATCCTTTTCTATCACTGCAACGTGAACAAGCATAGGAAAGTATCCTCTATCATCTGAATATAATTTGGCTCATGACAGAGCTTAAATGGGAGAGAGCACCATGTTTCCTGCAAACAAGGTGCTTTGGAGCATATGTGGGCATCTGATTTTAGGTACCCAAGGAAATTTTAATTTAGCTGTAGGAGGTTCCTGTTAAATAGAATCATAAAATGGTTTGGGTTGGAAGGGACCTTAAAGATCACCGAGTTCCAACCCCCCTGCCATGGGCAGCAGCACCTCCCACTCTCAGCCCCTACCAGCCTGGTCTTGAACACTTCCAGGGATGGGGCATCCATGACTTCTCTGGACAAACAACTCCATAGTGCTGAAAATTATGGTCTGGATTGTTTGTCAGGGATTTAGGAAAAATCCCAGAACTCCTCAGCTCCAGTTTATGTGATCTTCAGAAATGCTCTATTTGGCTTTTATCAGCTGCAGATATTTATAGGATAGATATTTACAGCAAGGGGGCATGGATCCTCTCCTGAGTGTGTACCAGAGGTCTGGGAGTGGCTGTAGATGGTCAAAGCCAAGTTCACTGTGCTAACGCTTCAGGACAACCCTGGTAGCTGGTGACCTTATCAGGGATGCCAAGGGACTGGGTAGGATACAGAACCATTGTAGTCTTTAATCTGGGTCAAGGGGACGGTAAAGAGATATTAACAGCTTTTTCTTGATGAGTTTAGGAAAGGGTTTTATGTAAAACTGGTCTATGACGGCAGCGAGGTTCCTCAGGCAATGGTTAAGTGTGTTAAAATAACTGTTGCCAGAAACACTGAAGTAGTTTCATCCATTCTTCTCTCCACAGGGGGTCAGGAGCTACAACTCCATAGTGCTGAAAATTATGGTCTGGATTGTTTGTCAGGGATTTAGGAAAAATCCCAGAACTCCTCAGCTCCAGTTTATGTGATCTTCAGAAATGCTCTATTTGGCTTTTATCAGCTGCAGATATTTATAGGATAGATATTTACAGCAAGGGGGCATGGATCCTCTCCTGAGTGTGTACCAGAGGTCTGGGAGTGGCTGTAGATGGTCAAAGCCAAGTTCACTGTGCTAACGCTTCAGGACAACCCTGGTAGCTGGTGACCTTATCAGGGATGCCAAGGGACTGGGTAGGATACAGAACCATTGTAGTCTTTAATTTTTTGTTTTGGGCTGATGGACACGACTGAGCCTGTTCTCGCATGATGGGTCTCCAAGCTCTTCCTCAGGCAATGGTTAAGTGTGTTAAAATAACTGTTGCCAGAAACACTGAAGTAGTTTCATCCCTTCTTCTCTCCGCAGGGGGTCAGGAGCTTCAGATTGGAATATCCCAGTTTGCCAGCTACCGAGGGTCAGATATCAAGGTGCAAATTGGGGGCTCATGGGCACAGATTCAGGCGCAGATGGACCATGGCATTAATGTGACACTTCCAGCCTTGGCTGCAGGATGGTACAATGTTTCTGTCATCATCAATGGCGTTGCTGTCACTTCAAACAGGTGTGTGAGTTGCACGTACTTTCCTTGAAATATAAATTTCATTCTCTGTCTTATTTGGTATTTTAGGGTTAATCTGAGAAGGAAGGTAAGAGTTTTCACAAATTCTGTACCTAACAGTGAAATCTGCAGTGTGGTATAAAATTATGAATAATTATCAAGGCATTTATTGATCTGTGGAACCCAAGTCAGCAAACTGCTAATGCTAGTCAATTAACTCCCCTTGGATCAGTAGGAGGCAGGAGAGAAACATTTTAGAAAAAGCAGTTGATTTGATGAAAAATGCATATTCAGGCAATCAAAGGTATTCACGGATTCAGGTCAAATGCAGATAAATCCTGCTGTAGGAAAACAGCAGAAGAAAAGAAACACTTTTCATGAGAAAAACAAAAGCTGGTTTGAAAAATAAAAAAAATGCTTTGTTTAGAGAATTTTTAAATGATGCTATTTCCATCTTTTAAGGTGACACTCCAAGTTCATGCCTAGATAAATGTAGTATAAATGAATTAAAATGTGGGGGAAAACCAACCTGAAAGTGGGATACAACAATGCATTCACAAGCAACACAGTTTTGTTCTTCGGCCATGCAGGTCTCATCCATGGCAGCTGCTAGAAATGATCATGAATCAATTATATTAGGGAGAAAGGAGATGCTTTTCTTGCTCACAAACCACCCTATACTTCTTGTTGCATTAATGAACAATGAGAACTGTGGTCGGTGGGGATGAAACACAGGGGTTCATCCTATTCAATATTGGAGTCTGGTAGCAGCACCATCACTTTGTATCTAGAGACAGAGAGTGGAGGGAGATGGATCATCCCATGAGAAAATTCTAATCTCTGGTGGGATGGATTGCAGGCTTGGGAAGGTCTACTTCTCTAATGCATCTTTTAGGAGAGCTATGAGGAGGAAAAAGAGATGTAGGTGAGACAGAATCAGAGCTGCACCCTTATCTGAGTAGGCTTCAGGTGGGAGGATGTAAAGAGGGAAGGCATTGGGACGTCCTTTCAATGCACTTGCATCTCCTGTCTGTGGGCATGGCTACAGTGGGATCTGATTGGTAACAACCCCCTCATTCTTGTTTCTTTTGATGGGCTATTCAGTTGCATCTAATGGACTAAATTTGACTCACAGGTTACCACTTGATAAGAAAGTGTTCATAACAGATGTAGCTCAAATCACATGGAAAAAGTTGGGGTCTTTTCACTGTGGCATTGAACAAAGGGGATGTGCCAGGTGGGGGTTTGGCCTTCCAACCTAGAAGGAGTTGTAAGAAAGAATAGCGCTGCAGGAGGAAAGGAAAATATGGAAAAAGACCCCAAACCTTCAAAACCTGTTTCTATGTTGCTTGTGTTTTGCAGGGTTGAGCCATTAATCCAGTACCTCTCGGAGATCTTCAGCGTAGAGCCGTGTTGTGGCTCCTTTCTGGGTAAACAGCGTCGGTACATCTGCAGCCACTTATGGAGGTTAAAGGGATCAAGGGCACAGTTTTCCTGCAGGGATGGAAAGGGCATCCCGTTTCACATCAGTTTAAATGAGGGTGTTTTAAATCTGTGACCCTTTAATATGCAGACATCAACTGGCAGACAGCAGCAGTCTGGAAATGTGGGATTGTAGTGAGCATCCCTCAATTTGGTTGGCTGGCTCTGGGGTCCCTGGGCTTCGAGTCTGATTTCCCCAAGTGTTTGCTCGTGTATCCTTTCATGTTCCCACTGGGAAAACAAAGCACGCCCACACCTGACTCATCCATGCTGTTTCTTTCAGTCATTACGCCTCCATCTTTCAAGGCTTTCCATGAGAAAGTTAGGTAGAAAGCGGGGTACGGTTGTGGTTTGAAGCAAGAAATTTCAAGTAATCCCAAAGGGGATGTTAATTTCTGTTAAGTTGAAAAGACAAAAAAAAAATAATCCCTTTTCGATGTTAATTTTAATCAAAAGTGAAATATTTATTAATCCCATTCCAAACTTTTAAACAATGGAAATCACTTAAGTGTGTTTCAGAGCAAAACATGACTGAATTAAAAAGAAAAGTTTTACTGACGGTCTTAAAAAGCAGATTTGGTGTGGTTGATTTATTTTGTCCTTTGGCTGGGGATGAGGGAGAGTTGAAACCCTGTAGTGAATTTTACATGAGCCCTTAGAACCCTTTTTGATGTTAATTTTAATCAAAAGTGAAATATTTAATCCCTTTTCGATGTTAATTTTAATCAAAAGTGAAATATTTATTAATCCCATTCCAAACTTTTAAACAATGGAAATCACTTAAGTGTGTTTCAGAGCAAAACATGACTGAATTAAAAAGAAAAGTTTTACTTTAGGTCTTAAAAAGCAGATTTGGGGTGGTTGTTTTATTTTGTCTCTTGGCTGGGGATGGAGGAGAGTTGAAATCCTGTAGTGAATTTTACATGAGCCCTTAGAAACGCTTTTATAGACGACAGAGAAATTCTTGTGATGCAACCTCAGGTACTCCACAGATTTCTCACAACACGTTTAATGACATGAAAAATCAGTGGTACATAATTAGTTCAATAGTTTGTGAAGTGCTCAAGCCTTGAAAGATGAGAGTGTGGATAGAGTTTGGAGAGAAAAGGCTATCAGTTTTGATGATTAACATATACTAAAAAAAAATAAATAAAATGATTGTACCCCTCTCTTCATATTTATGGATAATATATATATATTGTACCCCTCTCTTCATATTTATGGATAAATTGAAATTTAAATTAGAACTGATTAACTCTTTGGCTGTAGATTTATGAATGGCTTAAGATGGTTTAGAATCTCATTGCTGCAAATATCACCAGCCCTTCCCCTGCCTTAACTCTAGTCTCTTGTTGTCTCTAAGACTTGCACTGTCATCTGCATTAAAGATTTGAGCTGACTCAAAAGGAACCCCATTATAAACCAAGTTATTTTTCAGCCAGGTCATGGGAAAAGGAAGGGCACGGGATTAATGGATAAGGAGGGTGAGGCAAGGTAGAGCACTGGGAGTGCCAGTGCTGCAGACTAAAGGAAGATGGAAAGAGGCTTCAGCTGGCCTCTGGGTTTGGAAGCATGGGAGTAGGCTGAGAATGCTGAAGGGTTTGTGTTTTTATGATGATCACTTCCTAAAATCCAGACTGCTCCTTCTTCAGTGGTGCCCTGACTGTCAGTACCCTGGGAGGGAGTGCAGGTACTGCTGCTTTGCAATGCTATGTACATCCAGACATCAGGATTCATGTTTATTCTAGACAATTAGCACGTGCTCTCAGTGGTCAGAGCAGAGCCTCCCAAGGCTACTGCTCCTGTCAATGTGGAGAGGGAATCTCCAGTGCTGTGTCCTAAAATAACCGAGTGAATCAGACACAGATAGCCTGTCTCCCAGAGTCACCCAAAAATAGGATGCTTTAGGAAGATTTTATGAGTGGAGCAGCGTATGAGGATGCCTCTCTACAATATTCCTCCAGCTTCCAACAATAAACATTCGAACAAATCCAGCTAGAAGTCATAACTTTGTGTCTAACTCTTCCTGAGTCACTTTTCCATATGAATGACCCTCTTGGTTCACACCAAGAGTCTGTTTACCCATTTACTGTCGACTTCTCTGCTCTTAAGTAGATGCCCAGGGAATAAAAATCAACCAGGCAACCACCAGGGAAAGCAGACAGCCTGCCTTTCTCTAGCCCTTCATGGGAAGCCCTGGTCAGAGTTGCCTTTGATGGTGGAGGGGGAAATGCTCTTCCTGCTCTACCTGTCTTAAATGGTGCAGACTGGGAGCGTATAAGCAGGGGACGGCTTGAAGCTGGGAGCATTCATCAATCTATTGGCTTTTCTGGTCAGTGAATTCCTCAAGGGCAAGCGACCATCAGTGCATGGCAAATCTGGGACTCTGCTTGAGTGGCCAGGCAGAAGTGAAGATTGAAGGAAGGTCCATGGTTCTGGCTTTTTGTTTAAAAGCAGTCACACCACACTTTGCTTCCTTGTATGCAGCAGGACCAAAACACCTCTACCATATCCCCACCTGCCTGTATAGACAGTCCCATCCCCTGGAGACTTCAGTCCCTGTTTACTCTCAGGGGTCCTCTCCAGCAGCTTCATTCAGTTCTATGGTGGCTTTTTACTGCCACAAAGGTCGCTGGCTACCTTAGCCTCTTGTCCATCTGGATTATCCTGATACATGGCTGCTCTTATTTCTAGCTGTCTTGTTCCAAAAAAAAAGGACTTACTTTCTTCTTCCATTTGACCTGGCTAAGACTGTCAGCTGTGTTTATCAGCTTTATCATGGTTTGTGACTGATTGTTCACAGACAGTGATTAATTCCTTTCCTGCATATAATGTCCTTTTTCCTTATTTTGCTTTACTCCTAGGTGGAACTCTGCTCACAATCTCTGGGGTGGGCTTTAGCCAAAATCCTGCCCTGGTTTCTGTTTCAATGAACAGGCAAACCTGTACAGTTACTCACGTGGAAGAAGAGACACTTTGGTGCCTGACACCACCGGCTGCTAATTGGTCTAATGGAGATTCACAGGACATCTCTGTTAGAGTAAATGTAGTCATCAGCAGTAGGTCACTTCAACATGCTCTCCTTACAAAAAGGACCACCACCTTTAATTACCAAAGAGCCTTGACTCCTCTGATTACTGTTGTTGAAATGGAAATCACAGAGAGCAACCTGCTCTTGAGCATCCAGGGAGTAAACATCACCAGGTCTGTGGCTAAACTCGGGCATAGTGAATGTGAACTTGAGTTTCAGCGTGGCAACAAATCTGCAATGTTTTATCAGTGCTCTTTGCCACTGAACAGCCTGGAACCTGGAACTTTCCCCATCCAAGTTATCCAGAGGCAGCTGGGATATGCTCATGTGACAGCAAGGCTGCAGGCCCTTACTGTAACTCCACGGATAACCTCCATATTCCCATCACAAGGATCAATCTGTGGTGGGATGTTACTCACTATATCTGGTATTGCTTTAAAATCCAGGATGGGTCTGTGGCTAAACTTGGGCACAGTGAATGTGAACTTGAGTTTCAGCATGGCAACAAATCTGCAATGTTTTATCAGTGCTCTTTGCCACTGAACAGCCTGGAACCTGGAACTTTCCCCATCCAAGTTATCCAGAGGCAGCTGGGATATGCTCATGTGACAGCAAGGCTGCAGGCCCTTACTGTAACTCCACGGATAACCTCCATATTCCCATCACAAGGATCAATCTGTGGTGGGATGTTACTCACTATATCTGGTATTGCTTTAAAATCCAGGAGGAATTCGGTACAGGTCAGCCTGGGGAGCAATTACTCCTGTGAGATTCAGAACTCTGATAATGATGCCATTAGTTGTATTGTCCTTCCAGGGACCCATCCTTTGCATTATCAGTGGTTGGCTGAGGCATCTTGGGCTCTTAATGTCTCAGTGACTGTCAACGGGATCAGCAGCATCTGCCTTGGAAACTGTACACTCTACCTTCGTGAGCAGTGGACCCCCCTTGTAGATTTGGTGACCTGGGAGACCAATGGGACATTCACCTATGTGACAATCAAAGGACGGAGGTTGACATGGCCAAGTGGCAGCCCCATGGTACATGTGAATAACCGGGCTGTCTGCAAGGTGACATTTTGGAACGAGACCAGCATTAAGTGCCGAACCGACTGCATTGCCCCAGGGGAGCACAACATTTCCGTGTCCAACAGGAAAAGTGGACAAGCTTGCTTCAGAAAGGTGTCCAGTAGTTTCACCATCCTGCCTCAGGTGTATCAGTTTTACCCACAGAACTTCAGTACCAATGGTGGGGGCCTGCTCACCCTAGCAGGCTCGTCACTGAAAGGAAAGAGAATGACTTCTGTTCTCATTGATTATCACCCTTGCCTTGTTCTCAGTGTCACCTGTGTAGCTATCCAGTGCGTGGTGCCTCCAGGTAATGGGACTAGAGCTTTGAGTCTAAGAGTAGATGGTGTCTTTAAATACCTTGGAAGAATAAGTTACAGAGAGGAGTTTACCCCAGCATTCCTTTCACTTGTTACAACTGGTGTCCTTTTAACAATGACCGTATCACATATCACAGAGACGGACACCATCCAAGTATTTGTTGGAGACTTTTCTTGTAGTGGTGTCACCATCACTCGCTCCACTTTGCAGTGCTCAGCTCCTCTGCTTCCTGTTGGCGAGTACCGTGTGCTGGGCCTGGATGTCTCCAGAGGCTGTGTTTCCTCCAACCTGACGTTCACCTCTCAGCTGGTGGTGACAGCTCTTCATCACAACTGGGGTAAGTCATGAAGGCTTATTGTAGCTCCTCCACAGGGTACAGTGTAAGGGACTGTGGTGACTGGGGTTTTTTTTGGGGCATGAAAGCAAAAATGATGAATTCAAAAAAATACCTTTGTTAACAATTGACTGTCAGGCTCTGTCTTAAATCACATTTTCTGTCCTTTTCCAAGGTGGCTTGAGTGGAGGAGCAATTTACCTACGTGGAACTGGGTTTTCCCCAAGGAAGACTTTGGTCACGGTCTGTGGCACCCCTTGTGAAACTTTGGGCAACATGACGACGACTGACCTAAGCTGCCTTGCCCCACGCTTACACGGTGAGCTAAGACACAAAACCTGGCATTGTGTTAAAAACATCCCCTAAAAACTTACCTTGACTCAAAAGTAGGGGGTCCCAGTGTATCTCATCCCGGGAAAACAAATAGCAGCAGCAGCCTTGGAGAAAGGAGAAGAACCAGTATAGCACTGACTTCTGTTTTTTGAGCTCAGTCCAAAGACAGTTGCTGTCAGGGGGAGTTTTTGTGTCAATGGCCATGGGCTTTGGACTAGATCCACCATGTGCCCGTGGCCACATAGGCTTTGTGGGTGTGTATGAGATGTATACAACACCGGCAGTTCCTTGTGGCAGTTATTCCTTGGAAAAGCTGTCTCAAAATGTGCATGAGGGCTGTAGAGTTGGGTACCAAAGAGTGTCTTGGCCATCATGACCATCTTAGTGAGCTGTGCTCCCTTAAATGTCTTTTCTTCTGCCACCTCATGTATTTTGTGCTTTGGCTGCATGGTGGGACAGTTTCAGTGGGGTGAGGGGGTGGGAGGAAAAGGGTGAATAGCTGGGAGGGTGGATAAATGAAGCACTGTGGCCAGTTCATATCTTTGGGAAGCTGAGGATGAGAATTTTAGTTCCTTGAGAGGAAGATGGGATTATCCCACAGCCAGAGCATCCTCCTTAACTGGAGACAGACAGCAGGGAATGATGCCATGATCTCCAGCTCGCTCAAAGAGAGAAATAAACCTGCCTCAGTTTTGGAGGAAACTCTTGGAAATGGGCATTTCCTGGGACAAGATATATTTCCTCCCTCTCTTACTGGCAGGTGAGAATTAGTCTCCTAAAATCTTCAAAAGGTGGGATTTAAAATTTTAAATATCACCCTAGACATATGCTATTTCCCAAATGCTAAAAAGCAGAGCACCTGCCTTGGTGTTGCAATAGTGCAACACCTGGTAGTAAAACACTTCAGCCCCTTCATAGTTCTATTGCTGGGAGAACATCCTGAGATCTACTGAAATATTTGCTGCTCTGTGGCCATCCAGAGATCCATCATCCAGGTGACTAAAGATTCATGGACTCTTATCCTTTGTGGACCTGAAAGAAAAGTAGCAGTGAGAGTGTCCATCAGGGTAAATTGTCATGATTTTGCTCAAAGGTGTGTGTCTCCGTCCTCCAAAATAGTCAGAAGTTGACTAGATTAGTTGCTGAGAAGCCAGTCCAATGTGAAATTTAACATTCCTTTGAGCAAAGGTTGGGACAAGAGGCACCCAGCATTCCTTTCTTCCTCACTATTTCCAAAGTTCTAACTTTGCTCTTCTCATCTTGAACGGTTCCATTCCTCATCCATGAGGAATACTAAGAAATGCGAAAGGGGGAAAAATAAGGGTTTTAAAACCTAACCACAAGCAATACAAAGGAGACAACGAGAGGCCATAAGGGCTCAATTTCTTTTTTTTAAACAATATCCAAGCACAGTCCACACAACTGCTTATTCTTGTTTAAAAAATAAGAATGTAGAGATGGTACTGGAGTGCTGAAAAAAAAATAATAAGAGCACAAAATAGGAAAATCTGGTTATTGCAGGAAGAATAGCAGAATGAAATGTAAACAAATTGGTCCAAACTGTGAAAACATTAATAACTGTGCTCAAAATTTGCTGAGTGGTAGGTAGGCAGCAGAGGGAGCCTGGGGAAAACCGTCTTACAGGCAGGGACAGGATGCTGATTGCTGACACTAGATGTCAGCAAGTGAACGCTGGTTGCTGCCCGCTTGCTGGTTGCGTTTCATGGAGAGAAGCTGCAGAGGCTGAGTTAGTTGCCTCACTAACCAAAGGGACACAAGCACTATTGCTTTGAGGCTGGTTAACAGACAACCCCTCTCTCTCCTGCCCTGGATTTTGCCGTGTGCAGCCTTTAAATCTCAGCAGTTGACTTGCAAAGATGTGCAGCCTGGTCTAGTGGGAGGTGTCCCTGCCCATGGCAGGGGGGTTGGAATTTGATTATCTTTAAGGTTCCTTGCAACTCGAACCATTCTATGATTCTCTGTCAATGAAGTATTTACAGGAAAATGTTATATTTTTTTTACGTTTAAAAAAATATATCCTTTGGAAGCAGCTTAAATCTGCATTTGCCGGGGGCTATTTGTACTCCCTGAGACAGTCATATTCAGCCTGTGCCCATCTATGTGTGACATCAGTGAATCTGTACTCAAGATGCTTTGCAGACAACGTTCCTCCTAATATTTAAGGGATTACACACCTCCACTGTTTAGAGCATGAGTTGACTTATTCAGAGCATCTAGTCCTGTGTCTCACCTCGTGGTTTACATGCTGCTGGTTGCCTGGGGATGTTTGCCACTTGGCACTCGCACATCCAGTGCTCAGACCTTTCTGTCACAGCCTCGGACACATGGGAGAGGTGACAAAGTGACTTTGGGGGTGCAGGACCACAAGCCATGAAGGAGATGGGAGGGACAGGTCTGTAGTGCCCCAGGGCTCCTTCGGTGCAGAGGCTGGTGTGGCTGAGTTGGATGCTTGTCTGACATTTCCCGGCGTTGCTCGTGGACCGGGTGATGAGAAGTGAAGAGTTCAAGCTGCATTTCTTCTGTCACAGCACGCCGCGAAGCAGAAACACCTCCCCTCTGGCACTGGGGGATGTCAGGTCGCAGCTTGCTGCCCTCAGGTTTCAGTGCTGGGTCATGTTGTGTCTGGCCTGCTTAAGATTACAGATGTTCACATGGGAATCCCCAACAGGTCCATCTAGGGTACCCATCCGTACAAATCCGCAGGGCAAGGCTCTGCAGGTAGGAAATGGGACTTCTTTCCCAATTGGTCCAAACTGTGAAAACATTAGTAACTGTGTTCAAAATCCGCTGAGTGGTAGGCAGCAGAGGGAGCCTGGGGAAAACCGTTTTACAGGCAGGGACAGGATGCTGATTGCTGACACTAGATGTCAGCAAGTGAATGCTGGTTGCTGCCCGCTTGCTGGTTGCGTTTCATGAAGAGAAGCTGCAAGGGCTGCGTTGCCTCAATAACCAAAAGGACACAAGCACTATTGCTTTGAGGCTGGTTAACAGACAACCCCTCTCTCTCCTGCCCTGGATTTTGCCGTGTGCAGCCTTTAAATCTCAGCAGTCGAGTGGCAAAGATGTGCAGCCTGGTCTAGTGGGAGGTGTCCCTGCCCATGGCAGGGGGGTTGGAACTTGGTTATCTTTAAGGTTCCTTCCAACTCGAACCATTCTATGATTCTCTGTCAATGAAGTATTTACAGGAAAATGTTATATTTTTTTTACGTTTAAAAAAATATATCCTTTGGAAGCAGCTTAAATCTGCGTTTGCCAGGCTATTTGTGCTCCCTGAGACAGTCATATTCAGCCTGTGCCCACCTATGTGTGACATTGGTGAATCTGTACTCAAGATGCTGTGCAGACAGCGTTCCTCCTAATATTTAAGGGATTACACACCTCCACTGTTTAGAGCATGAGTTGACTTATTCAGAGCATCTAGTCCTGTGTCTCACCTCGTGGTTTCCATGCTGCTGTTTGCCTGGGGATGTTTGCCACTTGGCACTCGCACATCCAGTGCTCAGACCTTTCTGTCACAGCCTCGGACACATGGGAGAGGTGACAAAGTGACTTTGGGGGTGCAGGACCACAAGCCATGAAGGAGATGGGAGGGACAGGTCTGTGGTGCCCCAGGGCTCCTTCGGTGCAGAGGCTGGTGGGGCCGAGTTGGATGCTTGTCTGACATTTCCCGGCGTTGCTCCTGGACCGGGTGATGAGAAGTGAAGAGTTCAAGCTGCATTTCTTCTGTCACAGCACGCCGCGAAGCAGAAACACCTCCCCTCTGGCACTGGGGGATGTCAGGTCACAGCTTGCTGCCCTGAGGTTTCTGTGCTGGGTCATGTTGTGTCTGGCCTGCTTAAGATTACAGATGTTCACATGGGAATCCCCAACAGGTCCATCTAGGGTACCCATCCATACAAATCCGCAGGGCAAGGCTCTGCAGGTAGGAAATGGGACTTCTTTCCCATTTAGCAGACAGTTTTCTAAGACACGAGGAACCATCGGGCTCAACAGGATCCACCCATAAGCCTGCCCCATGGGGTCTTTCTTAGGAACAGGTGGGGTTGCAGGAAGGTTTCAGTTTGATCATGGACAAGAGCTGGGCATGCTAAATCCCAAAACACGCTCAATCCAGAGCACAAGGAATAGGAAAGCAAGCCTAGACTCTTTCATGAGACCTGTTCTCTTTTCCTTGTCTTCGATTTTTCTGAAGAAAAATCAAATCAGAACAGAGCTAAAAATTTGAGTTTCACCCTTAAGCTTTATAAAATTGCAAAATTAACAAAGTCACACTCTCTTCATGGAAAGCCAAAACTGAAACCAACCCACAAGTCTTTAAAGGTCTGGTAGAGAGATAACTGGCTTGATCCTGAGATCTGTCCCCTTCTCTTGTTCTTGCTTTGTTACTCGTGTCGCAGAGCAGTTAAGGAGTGCAGGTACTGCTGTGGATTCTGTTCAGCTCAGGTTAAATTTGCAGAACACATGGTTAATGTCTGTGGGATTCGATTCTGCTGCCGTGAAAGATGGGACGAATGGCAGGAAGCTTGAGGCAGGTGAGAAAATAACTGAATATTCATGTTAGGAGATATTAGGGTAAGTACCATATATAAATTTTGCAGTAAGCCAGTACTCGAGGTTGTACGTTTGACATTGGGGTAAGGGTAAAGAAGGCACCCTTAAAAGGAGGTAAACTGATAAGAAGATCCATCAGGGGAAAAGCAGAGTCTGCTTTTCCTGGTTAGATCAACGTACTTGGAATAACAGATCTGGCTTTAGGGTTTTGATGTAACAGCTCTTGGGACCTTTGTTAGCGAGTCTTGAACCTACAGTTAACGAAATTATATTGGTAAAAGTGGAGTTTAGATTAAAGGCTAGTAAAAGTAGGTAAAGTAAAATAAAAATAAGTAAAAGCAGGGGTTAGATTAAAGGCTAGAAATGAAATGAGGCTTGTTTAAAAGGAAGAGAGACACGGCTTGGTGGAGACAGAGAAGAAAGAGTTTTGGTTGCGCTAGAGCAGATGTACCAAGGAGGGCTAAGTTAGGGCCAAGGGGGACTATAGTCAGGGAAACGGGGTGATTCGTATGAAGAAGATATGAGAAGGATGAATTGTGGCAATTGAGACCTCAGCAGAAGCCAGGGCCTCTGACATTTATTGTGGGGGTCTAACTAAAGACCCTTCTATTTTTCAAATCCGGAAATGAAATTAAGAAAGAAGAAAAAAAAACCTAAATCTAAAGTAAAGTAAAAATAGGTAAAAGCAGGGGTTAAATTAAAGGCTAGAAATGAAATGAGGCTTGTTTAAAAGGAAGAGAGACGTGGCTTGGTGGAGACAGAGAGGAAAGAGTTTTGGTTGCGCTAGAGCAGATGTACCAAGGAGGGCTAAGTTAGGGCCAAGGGGGACTATAGTCAGGGAAACGGGGTGATTCGTATGAAGAAGATATGAGAAGGATGAATTGTGGCAATTGAGCCCTCAGTAGAAGCCAGGGCCTCTGACATTTATTGTGGGGGTCTAACTAAAGACCCTTCTATTTTTCAAATCCGGAAATGAAATTAAGAAAGAAGAAAAAAAACCCTAAATATACATATTGATTACACAGCAGGAACGTTCTGACAGTGAGATCTATCAGGCGGTGGAATAGATGCTTGCAAAGTCACCTCTTGGGACTTCTGAAACTCGGAAACTCGTCTGTGTTAAATGAATGTCTCCTAGGGAGCAATTCGTCATAGGCAGAGGTTGGACTTGACGACCTTAGCAGGTCTCTTTTTTTCCTCTCACTTTTCTTTTTTTCTTTTTTTCTTTCTTCCTTCTTTTTTTAAAAAAAAAAAAAAAAAAAAAAAAAAAATGCTTAAGCCAGAGCATCCCTCCAAGACAGGGTTGGGGGCAGCCGGTCCCTAACCCATTACCAACATGCAGAGATTTGGCTGCCGTTGTGTCTGATCTCAAAAGAGAAGCCATTAAGGGGATGAATGAGTTCATCTCAGTGATGGGATTGCATTACACGTGATTACCAGGTTTTATCTTTATAGGGAATATAGAGCATAAAGGATTCTGGGGATTGAACACTAGTCAATTAAGCAGGGAGAAGTATGGTGTCCCAGACTACCCTTTTAGGATATATTAAATGTGTTGCAATCTTTAGTTGATATTTTTTGCTACTGTTGTGGCAGGAGATAATGACACTGATAATATCAAGAGATATTACGTTTAATAGTTAGAGGTAGGGGGATGAGAGGCCAGGATTTCCTCCTAGCTGAGAAAAGCATTAAATCCTGTAGGAGCAGAGGAATATGAGGACTTCAGAGATCCCCAAAGAAGGAATGAGAATTGGACAATTCCTCAAAGAGTGGTATCTCAATCAGATGGTAAGGATCTGTAAGGTGTGGAGACGAGATCCGTCCCTCCTTCCATCCGAAAGGGAGACAACAGTCTTAGGTTTGATTCTGGGATGTATAGATTAAACAGGGATTTCTTGGATTTTGCTTCCACTGGTATCTTTACAAGCCTTTGTAACTTTGTTGTTTAGCTTAGAATTTATAAATTAATGCCTTTTTTTCCCTGGTTTCAGTTAAAAATTATTTCAGCAGTTGGCAGAATATAAGGCCTCACATTTCTACAGGCATGATAACGTTGACGTGAGGGCACTGGATCATGGCAGAAATGCCCGATTTCCACATAACATTTCAGGGGTATCCAAAGAGTGACAGGCTCTTCTTCTGCCGAGCTCTAAGGGCTGGTCAGGAAATATCTTCTGGTGACCTACATTAGCCAGGCAAGCTCTTCAACAGCAGCAAGGTATCAAAGAAAATTTTCAGGTCCTGAGATTCTGTGGGTCATTTCTAATGTTCATCCTAACAGGATTTTTCCACCTAGGAAAACTCTGCCATACTCTTTTCAAGACCGTAAAAAAAAAACCAAAGACCCTTTTGATTAGCTCAGCAACCTGTTGTTTTTTTCTTAATCTGTGGAATGTGAGTTTAATCTGCCTTCTAAATGCAGAGAGGAAAAATACAGAAAAATTGCGAACTCTCTCTCTGAAGTTCAGAGCAGATGAAATGCTAGGTTTTAATATTTCAAAAAATACCTTAAACATTGAACAGCTATAAACTTTTCAAAAATACACCTTATGAAATAATGATTTTTAGGAAAAAGTGTTAAATCTTTTAACATAGGAAATGTAACATTTTCATATTTTTACCATTTCAAAAATAATTTTCAGAATTTCTTAGGCGCTGAGACATTCATTGACAATGACACTTTCCCAGCAAACAAGATGTCTTTTAAAAAGAACTGGAATTCAGAAAAGCAAACAAAATCCAATTCCTTTCTTGATAAATCCCCATTGATTGTGCTTCTGATATTTGAAGAACACTCTTGGATACCACAGTGCAGAGTGTAATAATGTCCACAGACAGGTTCATTACAAATCTTTTATTCATTCAGGATTGATGAAAATTCTCCAAAAGTCTTTATATGCTGAGGGTTTTGGGAGAAACAGTTTTAGACGTGGTTTAGTGTTTGAAGGGTTCCTTTTTTAAAAAGTTATTAAAACCAAACATTTGAACTGTTCTGAACTTCAGTGACAGTTCACTATTTTTTAAAGCATTTTTTCTGGGTTTAGAATAAGAAAACCTAATATTTTTCACACCACTTGTTCCTTAAATGCACCTCAAAATAAAGCAGCTGCTCCCATTACACTTTCTACCACGTCCATGGAGTCAAAGCTGGATCAAGTCTCTAGTCACACTCAGGTAAAAAGCAAACTGGGAGATCCTGGTTCACACAAGTTCCCTAGAAGCCATCCAAGGTGTGGCAAAGCTTTCACTAAACCTATTTCTGGATTTCGAAGCTGTGATAGACCCTAAGTTGTCATAGTGTCCTGGTAAAAGGCTTGTGCCTTACTCCTGATCTGTAAACCACGGTCTGTCTTCCTCAGAAGAAATGCCTGTGCTCTTATTTAATCATTTACGTCACCTTATTCTGGATGGAGAAATTTGGTCCTAAAGATCATCCTGATGTTTGATGCACAAAGGATGGTATATGCTTGCTCACTCAAAGCAAAAGGGGCTGAAGGAGTTGCTTGGAGACCTATCTGTCCTCAAAAAGGATGCACCAAAATAGAGGTTGGGACATGCACATCAGGAATCCACAGTGACAAATGTTGGTTGCTAAAATCTGCTTAATGTCAGTGGTGTGTAGGCTACATTGGGTTAATTCCACCCCCCCTCTTGTCTTTGCAGCATCTTTGGCAATTCTCTGTGGCCTGACACATTCCTCTGTTGACTGCCGAGAAGACAGAGCCACCTTCATTGAATGTGATGTCCAAGTCAGGGTGGGTTCCTATCACCAGAGGGGATCTCTGTCTTACCTGTATGTCTGTGAGGACAACCCACCTCAGTGGCACTGGTTGGATCAAGTCTCTAGTCACAATCTTTAACTAAACCCATTTCTGGATTTCGAAGCTGTGATAGACCCTAAGTTGTCATAGCCTCCTGGTAAAAGGTTTGTGCCTTACTCCTGATCTGTAAACCATGGTCTGTCTTTCCCAGAAGAAATGCCCGTGCTCTTATTTAATCACTTACGTCACCTTATTCTGGATGGAGCAATTTGGTCCTAAAGATCATTCTGATGCTTGATGCACAAAGGATGGTATATGCTTGCTCACTCAAAGCAAAAGGGGCTGAAGGAGTTGCTTGGAGACCTATCTGTCCTCAAAAAGGATGCACCAAAATAGAGGTTGGGACATGCACATCAGGAATCCACAGTGACAAATGTTGGTTGCTAAAATCTGCTTAATGTCAGTGGTGTGTAGGCTGCATTGGGTTAATTCCACTCCCTCTCTTGTCTTTGCAGCATCTTTGGCCATTCTCTGTGGCCTGACACATTCCTCTGTTGACTGCCGAGAAGACAGAGCCACCTTCATTGAATGTGATGTCCAAGTCAGGGTGGGTTCCTATCACCAGAGGGGATCTCTGTCTTACCTGTATGTCTGTGAGGACAACCCACCTCAGTGGCACTGGAGGGACATCGACCCACCCCAGAGGCGTTTTGCTGGACTCTTTGCCAGGTTAGTCCTGCGACTCTCCAACAGCTGAGTGGGCCCATCTATGACATCCCCCAGAAGGTATTCCACCTTCTGCAGAATCAGTCCCTGATACACTGAAGGAACAAATTTCTAATTCTTAGGTCTCTGCCTACAGAGCAGTTTATCCTTGAGACCACTAGAGAGCTCCGCTGGGTTGTGAAATTCATTCCTTGTGTCTATCAAAGCATCTTTAGTCCCCCCCTCCTTTCCTCCCATCTTTTTAAAGTGTTTGAGAGACATCAGAAAATCCATCTCGTAAACAGCCTGCTTTGTTCCTTCTTAGGTTTTAATATTTATCTTCTGATCCAAAGCAACATCTGGTGGATGCCAATGGGGAAAAAGATTAGGCATTATGAAAAGCAGAAGT